ATGTCATGGTTGTTAGTACCCAAGATTGATGTTATGGCTGTTAGTACCCAAGAGTGATGTTATGGCTGTTAGTACCCAAGACTGTGTGCTCCTGACTGTTAGAGCCCAAGACTGTGTGCTCCTGACTGTTAGAGCCCAACTCTATGCTGGTGTATTGATTATTAGTTCTGGTCACAGTCTTGTCCCCGGTGTCTGACCCTGGCATTAATGACTCGCTGGTTACTGTGGCCGCTTCCTCTGAATTGTAAATAGCTCTTAATGACAACACGTACTAACTGACTAATTGCTGTAAGTGACCACTAATTCTCAAGGGTTTTCAGCTGCGTATTGTCGATAGTACCGAATAACCACAATTTCCTAATAGTAGTTAATTCCCAATTGCTACTTGTGTCGACTAGTCACTAACTCTCAGTTGTCGCTTGTTCCCAATGGTCATTAACTCTTAATACATTGCAATCAAACACCGCGTCAAAATTCTGGTGCTAGTGAAATTTAAAGCAGTGTTAATATTGACGCTTCCTGGGACCGCAGAACAAGGTCCAGTGGTCATTAGTCCTCAATGTTTACTTGGTCGTAAATTGTCCCTTGTCCCATTTAGTGTTTGATTCCTCACAGTGGTCACGTCCAGAACATCATCTTCGGTCAAAAACAAACTTTACAGACAAAATCTATTGCAAGATAACCATACATGCTTTAACTAAGTTAAAGTGTGAACTAATAACACCAGAAGAACCGTGTTATATATCAGTTTAAGTGCGAGACATCAAGAGAAGCAAGAAACCTTTTGTACTAAAAGTTCTGAAGAAACTATGTGCAACCATCGGCCGCGTTTACAGAAGACATCCAGATCTTCCAAGAGCGATGGAAGAGGCTTCCGTCACGGCCAGGAAGCTAGGTTACTGCTTCCGGAGAGGTCCGCAAACAGGAGGGTATGGGTAGCCTATTGTGAGCAGGAGGGGGCTATGGGTAGCCTATTGTGAGCGGGAGGGGGCTATGGGTAGCCTATTGTGAGCGGGAGGGGGCTATGGGTAGCCTATTGTGAGCGGGAGGGGGCTATGGGTAGCCTATTGTGAGCGGGAGGGGGCTATGGGTAACCTATTGTGAGCGGGAGGGGGCTATGGGTAGCCTATTGTGAGCGGGAGGGGGCTATGGGTAGCCTATTGTGAGCGGGAGGGGGCTATGGGTAGCCATTGTGAGCGGGAGAAGGGTATGGGTAGTCTATTGTGAGCGGGAGGAAGGTATGGGTAGTCTATTGTGAGTGGGAGGAGGGTATGGGTAGCCTATTGTGAGTGGGAGGAGGGTATGGGTAGTCTATTGTGAGCGGGAGGAGGGTATGGGTAGTCTATTGTGAGTGGGAGGAGGGTATGGGTAGCCTATTGTGAGTGGGAGGAGGGTATGAGTAGTCTATTGTGAGCGGGAGGAGGGTATGGGTAGAATATTGTGAGTGGGAGGAGGGTATGGGTAGTCTATTGTGAGCGGGAGGAGGGTATGGGTAGTCTATTGTGAGCGGGAGGAGGGTATGGGTAGTCTATTGTTAGCGGGAGGGGGCTATGGTCTATTGTGAGCAGGAGGGGGGGGGGGGGTGCGGGCCTGAGGCTATCTAACAACTGTTAAGGAGTTGGTGTGTGAGCCGCGTCCACAGTGCTGCCTGTGCTGCTCCTACTTAGCGCAGACAACGACCTCGTAACACCACCTCATAGGCCTCTAAAGCAGTGCTCAAAACAGTTTAAAAAATTGCATAAAATGTGATTAAAATTGTGAATATAGTTTACCTTAAACATAGGTCTTTACTCGGCACACAGCACTCGGCGAGTCAGCGGACATCCACCTGGCTGAGGATTCTTCCAGCATTTACACATCCATTTACGAAACCTGTACATCTTTAAAAAATCATGACGGCTTTGTTTATATTTATTGATGAGTTGTAAGCTCCTGAGCACTACGAGGTTGTTCATAACAATAATACCCTTCAGTTGTGAAGTTTCCTAGCTCGTAAATGTTTTCTGTAAATAAAACCGCTCTGATTGTTGAAAGATATACAGGTTTCGTAAGTGATTGCGTAAATGCTTGATGAATCCGGACTTATAACTAACGAAGGAAGGGCCGCAGCGGGAGCCTTGGGGATGCTAGTGACCTATAACGAGGTGAAGGCAGAGTTGAACCACCCGGTGGTGCTCCAACTGGGCACGAGATAACGAAGTGGTTCTCTCTACAAACGAGTATATGTTTGAGTGAATATCTCTGGCGCTAATTAACTGCTTTATCGACTTCACGTTATCTCCGAACTCGACGTTAGAAAAGGGACAAGGAGGAAAATAAACATAGATAACAAAAAGAAAAATTATATATATATATATATATATATATATATATATATATATATATATATATATATGTGTGTGTATGTGTTAATTTGTGAATTAATTACAACAGCATTCCGACTTATTTTTTTATTTATATATACAAGAGTTCTCACATTCTTGTAAAGCCACCAGCCCGCATGGCGTTAATGCGGTCAGGTTGTTAATCTTAATTTTCCCTGGAATACGACCCCGCCAAATCGTTTAACAACCAGGTACCTATTCACTGCTGGGTGAACAGAGGCGTACAGTTAAGGATTGGCGCCTACTCAATCCTTTCCGGGCAGGATACGAACCAAGGCCAAAGCGCACGCTGATCGCGGGTCATTTATTTGTATTAATAAGAAATTATTAATTTCTTATGGATATCTTCCATTCAATGTAAATACCTTCAAGTAACTTGAGGATGAAGAAACGCTAAATCACTTAATCTTTCCATTTTATTGTTCGATGTTTCGTTAACAATGTGACATCTTCAGGAATATACACTGTGACAATAGGGACACAAACATACTAATTTTAAATGCAAAAATATAGTTGTTTTAGATTCAGCTACTGGGAACAAAAAGTTGCAGATAGCACGGGCTATGGTGAGCCCGTAGTGGACTTAACTGGCACAGGAGCGGGGCTGTAACTTTGCCTTTTTTTTAATGCAAAAACACACATTTATAAGGCTGGGTACAACTCGTCCTACGATTAAATAGTCCGTAATCATAGAGACCGAGGAAAACTCGGGTGAAGTGATTAACACTTCAGCTAACAGTTATCTACCAGGTTTGTTATCTACCCTCTGGATCAATGGAGGTCCATCAAGCAATTGAATTCTCGTAGCCTAATTCACTTGAATGTTGATTACTGGCATCAGCTATTCGGATGAACACGGCCTCAAGTATTCGGAACTTCTTTCAATCATTCGTGCTTATAATTATTGTGGTGCCCTTCACTATGGCCCGCCAATTCAAGAAGGAATTGTGGTGTTGAGAGTGATGTTGCTTAATATTGTCTTCTTGCAAGTATAAGACGTCTACTCAGAGTATTCGTAGCGTGTTTAATTTAGCATACATGTCAGAGTGCACAGTCTCAGGAGGAGGAAGACATATTATTTATCATAATAAGAGAAGCTGAACGAGGGTTGCTATAACAAATTATAGGATGTATACTTGCGTGTTTACTACATGGTTTACAATTCTTGTCAATTACATCCTATATCGCCTCTTCATCCTTCTTATAGGCCTAAGTAAAGGTACTTTTATAATACACTTCAATGTCTTCACTTGGGGGGCCGATTATTTGCAGTCAAATGGCGACTTAGCTTCATACTAACGATTCCGTCAATTTCAGTATTGCTGCAATCGTTATTCACAATAATTTAGTAGACTCGATTTCATGGTGCAAGAGCTGTTAAGAAAAGCATATATGTCTTGCACAACCTGCATATGCCCTGTTGACGCTTTTCTTATAATTGTCTGTGCATTCACTCTTACCTCCGTCAGCTGGTTTATGATACACGTCTGTGATGAATCTACCAGAATTAGCATCCATGAGAACATCAAGGAACGGTATTCTGCCTCACACTTTTCTCGACAGTGAACCTCAAGCTAGAGACTTCTTGAAGCCTGTTTCGAAACCTCTTCAATGTATTTTCATCTTCAAACACAAAAGAATATGTCGTCGACATACCTACAGTATGAGCTCAAGGCTCAGCTCATCCATCTGAAGTAGAGACGACTTAACATTTGACAAATGCCTGAGTGAACAAGACCCTTCATTGGAACCCCATTGCCACCCTATCAACCTGCAAAAGGAGCTTACCCTCTGGACACAGAAAAAGAGATTTGGTGGTGTAGGCCTTCAGCATATCCCGCAAGATTGCTCGAGGTCCCATGAGTGCAGGGAGGTGCTCTTGTTGATGGCCAGAATTTACACTGGTAATTTAAAAACGCCAATGAATTCGTCAATAGAGTTAAGGGAGAATGTGGTCAGGATGTATGGCGATATTATTTGGTTCAGTCTCTTGGCGAGTTTATAAGTAGGTGTGGGACTCTGCAAAATTATAAGCCTAAGGCCGTTCATCCCAAACACATTCTCCCTTAAATCTTGGCTTCCCATGACGTTGAAAGTCTTTTCATCTCCTCTGACAAACTGAAGTGTTCTAATGTAGTATTTCAATACAAATGCAGTTATGGAGACTGACCTCCGAAATGTATGCTACATTGGGCATTTATTATACATCTTACAATTCATTCAAGGTATTGAGCAACACCACAATACTATCGTGAACCGCCAGGACAGTGAAGGACACCACAATAATCACAAGCATCAGTGATGGAAGGAGGCTCTCAATACTTGAGTCTATGTTCATTTCTGAGCTGATACCGGTAATCAACATTCAAGTGAATTCAACTTCGAGCATGCAATTGGTTGATGGCCCTCCACTGATCCAGAGGGAAGATAACAGACCTGGCAGACAACTGTTAGCTGAAGTTATTGCGCCAAACACCTCACCCGATTCTTCGTCGGTTTCTACAATTAAGGACTACTTAATCGTAGGGTTAGGTGTACCCAGCCTTATAAATGTCTATGTTTTTATATGTAAAATTTCACTATCAAAGATCACATTCACTCCAAACAAAAAAAAACACTTATTCTTACCCATGCCACCTCTGGGGTGGCTTAATCTTCATCAATCAATCATGTAAAATTACAGAGTTACAGCCCAGCTCCTGTGCCAGGTAAGTCCACTACGGGCTCACCATAGCCCGTGCTACTTGGAACTTTTTGTTCCGAGTAGCTGAATCTAAAATAACAACATGTAAAATTAGTATACCTGTGCCCCAAGTGTCAAAGGGTATACTCCTGAAGATGTCACATTGTTGTCGAAACGTTGAAGAAATAAAGTGGAAAGATTAAGTGGTTTTGTGTTTCTTCACACTATTTGGTAGGTGTTTACATAGAATGGAAAATATCCATACAAAATTAACAATACTCAAAATGTTGTTGTGTATAATTACATGTGTATTAGAGATATATATATATATATGTGCGCGCGTGTGTGTATGTGAAAGTATCCACATAGGAAAAACTAGAAAATGTGGATACTTGCACATGACTGAATCACGTGTTTTTGTGATTATTCTTGCAATATGTATATAGAAGTCTATGATGGTCACTAATTAATATGGCTTTCTATCATCAAGGCATTGATAACGTTGTTCAGGCATACTTGTAAGGGCATATGTATATTTGCAGTATCTATACTTATCTCTATGGTTCGTCAAATGCCGTAGATTTTTACTATAAGCTAGCATGCTTGTGTCGTAAGAATACAATCTCGCTACTTCTTGCTGACGTATTTAGACTATACATGTATATATGTGAAAAATCTTATCTAAGTAATCCTCAAAAGATTCCATCTATAATGAACCTGTCTATTCATATGTTTTTTGCTAGTACGTGTTTCATAGACTTTACTGGAGACAACACTACGGCGTTTTTGTGCATATTCAAGCAGTCAGTTTCACTATGACTTTCAGAAGGCGCTGAGAAAAGCCACAATCTGGAAAAAAGACTGAAAAGGCTTGGTACTAGAGAAATGTCTCTTAAGACAAATAAAGCGTGACGAAGGATGACTAATGTCGTGTCAACGATTTTCAAAGACAAGCCTTCGACACACATATTTTGGTCTTATGCTATAGCATTCCACGTACCGGTCTAAGTTAGAACTCCAGGAGGAGGAGAGACGAGGGAGGAAGGAGGTTGGGCCGTATCAGAGTTATGAGAAGCAAGCAAGGACGTCGGGATACGCCTATGCCTTGGGTCTACGCAGAGGTAAGGCCCCGTGCCTGTTAAAGATACACTGCAGGAAGCGGGTATTCCTCTGTACTGGGGCACTTTGTTCATTCCGTGCATCCCAGAGCTATTGCTGAGGGGGCAGCGAGGGGTCGAAAATGGTACGGAACCAATGAGCGTAACAGAGGGTAAGATACGCTGCCAGGTCGCCTAAACTCTCCTACAAAAATAAACAACTTTTTATCTAGTGTCTATCACAGTTGAAGCTTCTAATGGAATGAGGCAGGTGTGGGTGGGTGCAGGGTGGGGGAATGGGGTTATGGGTGGGTGTTTGATGGTGCAGTGGGTGGAGGGTGTGTGTAGGTGCAGGAGGGAGTGAGTAGGTGCAGTTGGGTGTGGGTAGGTGCCAGTGGGTGTGGGTAGGTGCCAGTGAACGTGGGTAGGTGCGGGTGTGGATGGATGTGACGTGATGGTGGATGAAGGTGAGTTTGTGCGGGTTTACGTGGAATTGAAATGAAGTTGATAGTAGTGATTGTGGTGGTGGATGGTGCCGGCTGTCAGTGAGCGGTGACGGTGATAGTGAGGGAGGGTGACAGGTGAGGACGATGATACACTGTCACCAGCTCATATTGATATTGCCTCGTTTCCTCGTCGAGGCCTTGTCATTGTCAACGACCGGGGAGGGATTTAAGCCAGAACGACTTATGTGACATACAAAGCTTAGAAAATGGAATGATAATGTACAACGATGGTGTTAAACAATGAATGGTGTAAAATTGGCCGTGCGGGTGTCGAGCACAATAAGCACAGACGTACATTTAAGCATGAATGAACTATTTGTCATAATTCTTTATAATTGCTAGTATTCACCTGTCTTCATTTGTCCATCCTCAAAAACTGCTGACCTCTTCTGATCGTCGAATTTACACTTTGTACACTGTATTCGACACGTAAATTGGAGATACTTGTGGAAAATTAATGCATTTTTAATGTTTTCAAATATACTGCATCACCTCACTCAGAATGTCTAATGAAGGACAGGTTCCGATAGCCTAACGGCTCAACAACAGTTTTGTCCTGTGCGAGACATGTATCATAGACACTTGGGACATGTATTATAGTCCTTTGTGTCGTTTCAAGACGCTTAACACTGAGCTGTTTAGGAGTTTATGGTCTAAAGGTTCTTCTAAATGTGGAGTCTCAAACAGGATCATTGTTGACATAATCTTGTACAAGTGAATCTTGTTAGGGCATAGGGATTTCTATTATTTCAATTGTTTTAGTTGAAATATAGTTGATAAATGAAACTCTTGCGTTGTTTTGGTATAATCGCAACATACAGTCTACTTTATTCTTGATGTCTTCATAACGTTCTGAAGTTAGGAGCTTTGTATACTTTTATACTTTCTCTGAAACACGCTCAACCTTCTTCAAAATACAAAAATACCAAGCATAGCGAATGTAATTCAGTATTTCTATGAACCTGAAGATTACTCTATAGTTCACCCTTTCTCTTTTGTCTTGCATCTTACTTCAGTGGTTCTCAACTCCGCCGTCACGAGCGGCCACAACACACTTTACATACAGCAAGACGCTGGTGAACCTGTATCAGCCAGGGGTCGTTTCAGAGAATACATTTATATATATATGGAGTGCATGTAAGTCCCTGGAAGATTTGTTGTCTCACTGTGCTTGTGTGAATGTGCTGCTCCGTGTGGAGCAGTGTCCTTCACCTACTAGTCACAGCAAAGCATCAACAGTTGTATAGATGTGACGTATTAACTCAATATTCATGAGTGAAAATGAGGACCAGACGAAAGAAATCTTAAAAGTAGTCATGGTATCGTCAGGAACCAGAGTGGCCGGATTTATACTTTAGAAGGTTGTAGGTCTGAATGAATCCGTCACAAACAATGAAGGCTTCTAATGTTCTTCGGAACATTTTTCTTACGAATACCGTATGTTAACAATGTTATCATAGAAAAACAGGTATGATTTTGCTATTCAGCTTAAATTTGTGCATAAAAATATATATAGTTTTGAGCAAGATCCGTCGATATTGTTGTCATTTGGCAAGAATTTCGTGAATATGATGATTCTCTCATTGATATACTTCACACGTCTTGAGGGGGCGGGTTTTGGTGTACACAGATCAGGGAGTCTTGAGAGAAACAGAGGACGTGCTGGTTCTTATGCTCTAGCCGGAAGGCCACAGCTGATTGTCACTGAGGAGGAGGCACTGATGGTCCAGCATCCATGCAAATGTTATCCGCATGCGTTTTTGATAGAGTTGGCGCTTCTGTACGAGGACTGGCAACCGTGGGCAAGTTCTTCACTGAACACCGTTTAAAGAGCTCGTGAAACTTTTCTAAGCTACCTCCCTGCTGCTCTTGCTCTGAGGACTTATTTGGCCTCACACTGCCAGTAAATTCCTGCGTTCCATTGATAACCTTTTGGTTAACCTGGTGATCGGAGTCTTGGACTCTGGAGGCATCAGAAATTAGTATATTAGAACAGATTTTATTGGATGCACAAGTAGCTTTTAGAGACTTCGAGAGCCTGCCAGCATCCTTTTGTGAGAGAACGACGGAGCAAACATTATCCTCGGGTTTTGATGGGTTAGGAGATACTAGTTTGAAAGTCTCTGGGTTGGATTGGGTTGTCTGAGGATCTCTTGAGGATGGTTTAGTAGCCTCTGGGCTGGGTGGGATTGTCAGATTATCTGTTGATAATAGTTTGGAAGTTTCAGGATTGGACGTGTCTAATGGACAGCCAATTGATAGTGGTTTAGAAGAATACGGCGCTCTGGGCTGAATGGGAAGACAGGTCGGACATGAAGGCTGTTGGGGTTGACCAAGAATGTACTGTGCACTGGAAGAAGATTTCGACTGAGACCAGCAAGGTTTGGGTGACTGTAGCAGTTGTGAGGTTCGTTTGGGCTGCTGCTGAATTGGTGTGGAAGGTCTGATGGGTTGCTGCTGCTGGACTGTTGCTGATGGGTTGGGTTGCTGCTGCTGGACTGTTGATGATGGTTTGGGTTGCTGCTGCTGGACTGTTGCTGATGGGTTGGGTTCCTGCTGCTGGACTGTTGATGATGGTTTGGGTTGCTGCTGCTGGACTGTTGCTGATGGTTTGGGTTGCTGCTGCTGGACTGTTGCTGATGGGTTGGGTTGCTGCTGCTGGACTGTTGCTGATGGTTTGGGTTGCTGCTGCTGGACTGTTGCTGATGGTTTGGGTTGCTGCTGCTGGACTGTTGCTGATGGGTTGGGTTGCTGCTGCTGGACTGTTGCTGATGGTTTGGGTTGCTGCTGCTGGACTGTTGCTGATGGTTTGGGTTGCTGCTGCTGGACTGTTGCTGATGGGTTGGGTTGCTGCTGCTGGACTGTTGCTGATGGGTTGGGTTGCTGCTGCTGGACTGTTGCTGATGGTTTGGGTTGCTGCTGCTGGACTGTTGCTGATGGGTTGGGTTGCTGCTGCTGGACTGTTGATGATGGTTTGGGTTGCTGCTGCTGGACTGTTGCTGATGGTTTGGGTTGCTGCTGCTGGACTGTTGCTGATGGGTTGGGTTGCTGCTGCTGGACTGTTGATGATGGTTTGGGTTGCTGCTGCTGGACTGTTGATGATGGTTTGGGTTGCTGCTGCTGGACTGTTGCTGATGGGTTGGGTTGCTGCTGCTTTCTTATTACTGATGGTCCATGCTCCTTCTGCTTCGATGCTGTGGTGGCTGTTTGAAGTTGAATTTGTACTGTGGCGTCGGTTGTGGATTCCTGGGATTGTTGTTCTGCATTGGACGCAACATGTAACTGCTGAGTGTTTTCAGGAACGACCAGAGGAGATCGCTGGAGAAGGCAAGAAGATTGAGCATCTGGTTTAGATACGACACTGCAGCCGACACTCGACTTGTGGACGCAGTTGGCAGATGACATGCAACACCTGCTGTTACAACTGGTACCAGATGTGCTGGTGGCCGCCGCCTTACTGCTGCTTGTGGTGATCGATTTATCTGTTTCGGTGGTGATCGACTTGGTGCAGCTGCTAGTATTCGATGGTGATGGGGACGGTGGAGATGCCGTTGGTGAAGAGCGATGGTTAAGAGACTCTGGCGAGGCCTCTTCTAATTTATAAGTATCTTTCAAGCAAGATTCTAGTATAAAAAGCAGCTTTAAGGGTGAATCTGGTCTGGAATTGAGATTCAGGGGCGACTCTGGGTTTTGGTCAAGGCTCATAGATAACACAGGTCTAACAACCTTCTTCATGGAGGGTGCTTGTGGACGATCCTTTCTAAAAGGAATCCCTGGCCCATACTTATTTTTAAAAGGATATCCAGGTCCATGGCAATTTTTAAATGGAGTCCCTGGTGCATGAATAATTTGGAAGGGCATCCCTAATGGATGATCTTTTATTAAAGGTTCAAGATCACGTTTCACTGGGGAGACTAGTGAGTGATCCTCCTCCAGGGGCGACTCTGATGTTGGACATATATTAAACGGCAGCTCAGATGGAAGATCCTTTAACAACAAGGGATCAGGTGGGTGATCCTTTTTCAATGAGGAACTAAGTAAAGGATTATTTTTGAAGGACTGATTGGATGTATCATCATCTTCATCTTTCAGGGAGGGATCGGGTGAATAATCAATATTTGGAGAGGGATCAGGTGGATTGCCCTTTCTAAAGGGTAACCCTGCTGGATGATCTGTTTTTAAAGGGGAACCTGGTGGATGAATCGTTATTAAGGGTGATCCTGGTTTGTGAGTCGTTTTTAAAGGGGAACATGGTGGGTGATTCATTTTCAAAGGAGACCCTTGTGGATGATCCATTTGCGAGGATTTTGAGCTAGCGGTTCTCTTTAAGGTGCCTAGGTTATGCTCTTCCATTAAAGGAGAATCTTGTTCGAATGTCTGGTGCTTCAGTGGAAAATCCGGACTGGACTCCGAACTCAAGGGTGACTGTGATTTATTATCTTTCTTTGTGGAGAACCCTGTGTTTTTGTCTTCTTTCAGTGAAAACTCGAGCTTAGAGATCTGCCTCAATGGGGAGCCTGTTCTGCAATCACATTTTGAGAGAGAATCTGATTTCTCATCCTTCAAGGGAGAACCTGATTTTGCGTCTTTCATTGGATAATCTTTTATTAAGAGCGGCCCTGGATTAGTTTTTTTCCTCATGAGGAACTCTCTGTTATCCTCTTTCTTCAAGGAAGACACCTGCTTATCATCTGTCTCTATGTGCAACCTTAGATTTTCATCATTATTCAAAAACGAATCTAGATTTTCATTTTTCTTGAAGGATGAGCCAGGTTTAGAGTCTTCCTTTAAAAGCAAACCTGGACTGTCGTCTTTCCTCAAGAGACAGACAGGATTGTCGCCTTGGCTCAAGAGACAGACAGGATTGTCGCCTTGGCTCAAGAGACAGACAGGATTGTCGACTTTCTTCAAAGGCACGCCTGTATTCTTTTCATTCCCCAAGGGAGTGTTTTGGTTGTTGACTTGTTTCAGTGGTGAGCCTGGATTGTTAACTTGCTTCACGGGTGCACCTGGATTGTCGATTTGCTTCACTGGTGAGCCTGGATTGTCGATTTGCTTCACCGGAGCACCTGGATTGTCGGCTTGCTTCATGGGTGAGCCTGGATTGTCTACTTGCTTCACTGGTGCACCTGGATTGTCAACTTTCTTCACGGGTGCACTTGGATTGTCGACTTGCTTCACGGGTGCACTTGGATTGTCGACTTGCTTCACGGGTGCGCCTGGATTGTCGACTTGCTTCACGGGTGCGCTTGTATTGTCAACTTTCTTCACCAGTGTACCTGGATTGTCGACTTGCTTCACGGGTGCACTTGGATTGTCGACTTGCTTCACGGGTGCGCCTGGATTGTCGACTTGCTTCACGGGTGCACTTGGATTGTCGACTTGCTTCACGGGTGCGCCTGGATTGTCGACTTGCTTCACGGGTGCGCTTGTATTGTCAACTTTCTTCACCAGTGTACCTGGATTGTCGACTTGCTTCACGGGTGTGCCTGTATTGTCAACTTTCTTCACAGGTGCACTTGGATTGTCGACTTGCTTCACGGGTGCACTTGGATTGTCGACTTGCTTCACGGGTGCACTTGGATTGTCGACTTGCTTCACGGGTGCACTTGGATTGTCGACTTGCTTCACGGGTGTGCCTGGATTGTCGACTTGCTTCACGGGTGCACTTGGATTGTCGACTTGCTTCACGGGTGCAATTGGATTGTCGACTTGCTTCACGGGTGCAATTGGATTGTCAACTTGCTTCACGGGTGCACTTGGATTGTCGACTTGCTTCACGGGTGCGCCTGGATTGTCAACTTGCTTGAAAGATTTCCTTGGATTTTCAGCTTTCTTCAAGGACGAGTCTAATTTTTCGACTTTTTTTAGTGACGAGTCTGGATTGTTATCTTTTTCCAAGGGCGACTTTGGGTTGTCATCAATCTTTAAGAGAGACTCTGGATTATTATCTTTCTTTAAATGCATGCCTAGATTGCCATCTTTCTTCAAAGTCGAGCCTTGACTGTTACTTCTTTTCAAAGGCATCCTTGGATTGTCATCATCCTTCAACGACAAGCCTGGATTCTTGTCTTTATTTAAGGGTGATGCAGGTTCATAATCCTTCTTTAAGGGAGGTCCTGGGTTATCATTCATATTCAAAATTGAACCTGATTTGTCATCCTGCTTTTGGGAAGGTATTGGATTATAGTGTTTCTTCGAGGGGGACCCTGGATTAATGCCTTTCTTCGAGAGAGACACTTGATTCTCGTCTTTTTTAGAGGGAGATCTTTGAATGTCATCTTTCTTCGAAGGAGACCTTGGATTATCATCTGCTTTCGAGTGTGATGCTAGGTTATCATTTTTCTTCAAGGGTGACCCTGAATTATTGTCCTCTTTCGAAGGTCGACCAGATTTGTCATCTTTATGTAAGGATGACCATGAATTATTGTCTTTATTCAAAGATGACTCTGATTTATTTTCTTTCTGTTTCCATAGACACCCTTGCTGACCTCTGACCGGTGGTTCTGGCTTACTGTCTTGATTTATTAGTGAATGAAACTTTAAACTGGATTTAGAAGGCTCTGATGTTCTTTTGTCTTCTGCTTTGTAGTTTCCTGTAATCTGCTGGAAGGTGTTAGCTTTCTGAGAAGTGAGTTCCGAGATTTTCGGTATATATTTTGGCTTATTTGGGGGCAGTGGCGGCGGAGTTCGTTGTGGTAAATTGATTTTTGTTATATGGTCTTGTTGAGAAAGACTGCGCTCTTGCGGGAGCTTATCAACAGGACCCTGATGCAGGGATTTCTGCTGGGGAGAAGCTCCTACTGGTTGTCGACGAGGAAGGATCTCCGGTACAGCAGGTGGTGGAGGTCGACGCTGTAGGGATCCTGCGAGAAAGGAAGTATCTGGTAGTGATGCTTGTCTCGAGATTGCATTATTGAACTTTCCTGAGTGATCCTTCGACGTCGGGTTTGTCGTCAGCTGAGTCAGGAAACCTTCTTTCTTAAGTAAGTTATTTTTATTTTGGTTATTTTCATTAGGTTGTGGCGGTAATGAGTTTGTCCTCTGTGCTGTAGGTTTGCTAGTGTATCTAGACTCTTGCATTGATGCTTGCTTGAACAGTTCATCATAGGGACAAGTTAGTGGTTGAGGAGGTTGAGACCGGTGGGTGATCCATCTGTACAGCTGCTGCTCCGATGTGGTTACTGTCGAGTTGGGCAGAGATTCTTCCGGATCTTCCTCAGGGAGAGATGATTGTCTATATATTTGGAGATAGGACCCTAAGGTGCTTGGATGGCAGGGATGAGAGAGCTGTGTGGGCTGTACTGGAAGTGACACTTGTCTATGCAAATGATGTGTGGGTGACACTTCACTCAAGGGAGGCTGAGACAACGACGACTGATTGGAAGTGTTTATGGCACTGCTAGGAGTGCTTTCCTGTGCTATGATTCTTTTATCCTGTTCTGGCTTGAGATGCTGCCTAGCTATATTTTCTTCTACTTTAATCTCCTTCTCATTGTGCTGAGCATCTCTGTTGTTGTCCACTACCAGAAAAGTAGAACTTGGCTTGGGGCATCGGTTGTCCGCATCGTTCTTCCTCGATGAGTGCTGCCACAGTGAGCTCTGACGAAATACTCCTTTAGACGATGGAGGCTCCTTCCTCAGTGAGCGTTGTGGAGAGTTGGGAGCAGAGAATGAGCGTTGGGGAGAGGACAAAGGTGAAGAGCTGCGACTCTGGGGAGGAATTGGCGAGGCACTACGCTTCGGCGATCCGGGTGGGGAGGTGTATGTGTGTCTGTGAACAAATGGAGGAATGTGTGAGTTCTTTGTAAAGATTGATGGGGAGGAACCACACACGGGGGAGCCAGTAGGAGAGGAATTGTCAGATCTTACAGGTGATGCCTCACGCTTTGGACTGGTTGGTGATGTGCCACGCTTTGGGGAGGAGAGAGGTGACGAGGCATGTCTTGGGGAACTCAATGGAGAGGAGCTGCGTCTTTGTGGTGGTGATGCCTGCTGTGGAGGAGTCAGTTGCGGTGAACTGCTGCCACTACGGGAGTTTCTGCGAGTGAGTGGGGAGGGCGGAGTGGGGCAGCTGCGGCGGGGAGACACTGGGGAACTGCCTGGGCTACCAGTCGATGGGGAGGGACTAGAGGACCTGCGCGAGGGACTCGACGACCTGCTACCGGAGTTGTCGCGAGAGTTCCTCCTGAAGAGACCGACTCTGTAGGTATAGGAGAGAGGCAGATTAGTGATGATAGGTCGAGTTAAGAGCAAGTAGAGGTGAATCATGTCATTTATGTTTGTCACTATAACACAGCTTTGATAAATACACGACAGGTACTGGAAGCGTTACACAAACTGTGTGGTAACATGACACTAAACTCTCTACAAGGAACAACACATTCAACATTGACTTATTCTAAACCACCTTCAAGGCTCCATTGCAGAGGTGCAGCTAATGGTGGAAGAGATGGTGAAGGTGGTGCTGGTGGTAGAGATAATGACAGTGGTGGCCTCTGACTGTGGGGTCCCAGAACTATAGTCAGAAGTCTTTCAAGCTCCAACTGGTCCCAGATGTGACAAGAGTTGATGATGCTAGTGATTTAACTACACATCTTCATTTTTGGAGATTGGCATAATTCAGAAATTATTGTTTACTTTCATCTCAGAAATGTTGACAAATGAACTTAGCATAATCTTGCTTCGATACTTTTATTTCATTCATGAGAGTTCAAGAAAATTGTTAAGCATTTTAATATGTTTAGGGTTGTAGCTTTACGGAACAAATTACCATGTAACATAATAGACGTGGGAGAGCTGGACTGTGTCAAGCAACATCCTCCAGTTTAGATAGTACTTTTTTGTAACTGTTCACCGTAGTATAAATATTGACATTAAAGGCAATTAGATAATAGAATTTGGTACTATTCACCTTATAAAGTACAAACAAAATAATGCTAAAAACAAACTTAAATATTCCTAGGCCTAGTATAGCACACATATGTACTGTATTATGCCTCAGATATCGTGTATTAGGCCTAGGAAGGTTAGGTTAGGTTAGTTTAGCTTGTCTTTGCAACATAAATACAAAACCTTTTCCGGTTTGTCCAAACTCAGTAGTAATGATTTATACTCTCAAATTGGCCATTACGTCATATATGTACTATGGTCCTCATAGTTAATGTAAGTAGTAACTAAACAGGAGGATGGGCTGTTTCAAGCGTAGGTTAGATATATGTGAATGAATGTGATCGGATATAAAGTGGAGCTGCCTCGTATGGCCCAAAAGGCCTCTGCAGTGTTATTTATTCCTGTGCTTATAAGCACCAAATTTAGACACTATAACAAACTAGTTTTGTAATTAATTATCTGTTACTTACTATGACAAAAAATGTTTTGGAAATTTTGCATGTTAATAATTATGTTCCCAATTTTCTTGTAAGGTAAAAGTAAACGTGAGCACAGACCGGTATTATTGGGGTCAAGGAAGACTTGTCCTCCCAGACTGTTATCACTGAGAGCTGTGTGGGCTGGAGCAGTTACCAGGCCGTCAAGTACTGAGCAGACAGTCTGGAGCAGTCCGTCAAGAGCTGCCAGGGATGGTGTCGCGCTAGTGGTGGTCAAGGTTGTAATGACTTGTGCTGTTGATGCTCTAGCAACTAGTTCTAAATGATGCTAGTGGTGGTGGTGATGCTGATGTGATGGTGGTGATACTGGTAGTGGTGGTGATGCTGATGGTGGTGATACTGGTAGTGGTGGTGATGGTGGTGATACTGGTAGTGGTGGTGATGCTGATGGTGGTGATACTGGTAGTGGTGGTGAATGGGGTACTGGTATTAGATTAATTTTATTACATCCAAGAGTGAGAACTAGTAATGTTGTCACAGCTATCTATGAGTGATTTGGTTGGTAGTGATAAATAGTAGTGATGGTGTCAATTGTTGGTGCTAGCTGTTAGTGGTTAGCTGTTTGTTGTGTTAGCTGTTGGTGGTTAGCTAATAGCTGTTAGTTGTGTTAGCTGTTGGTGGTGTTTGATGGTAGTGGAGTTAGCAGTTAGTGATGCTAGAGGAGGCGGGTGCTAGCTGTTAGTGGTGCTAGACAATAGTGTTGTGTTAGCCCTTGGTGGTGCTAGATGATTATGGTGCTAGATGGTGGTATTAGTGCTAGCTGGTGGAAGAGCTAGTTGCTGCTGGCTGTGCTAGCTGGCGTGAGGAAGAGGAACATACCACATGGCTGATTCTATTTCTATTTCTTATTGGCGGAGGCTGAAGATTTCTTGGAAGACCGCCTGAACAGGCTACCCGAAGAACTCAAGATAAGGCCGATGTTCAACAGAGAGAAAATACCAAGGAGAACATAAGTTAATAACATCTTTATATTAAAATAAGAAAAGCCAGGTAACTGAAATTATAAAAAATGTGTAAAGTATTAAATTATTTAACAACCAAATAATATAATAATAATAATAATAAATAATAATTTTGACTTAATTGTCACTGAACATTCACATAGCTGCAACAAATTAAAAATACAGCAAAACTGCAACATATATTACTAATTAATCTAACATTAATGTGTACATAGCAGCTATGTATTATCAAAGCCAGAATATAACATATTATAAAGGCGCTGAATCAAAAACAGCGGTGCATAAAACTTCGACAATTGAAGCATGTGTGACTATTCATACTAGAGTAAATTACACAAGAAATGCAACAGAATACAACGCTGCATTACACATATACACACATCAGATCACCACACTAAACATACACATACACATTACAGAGCACCACACTAAACATACACATACACATTACAGATCAACACGACAATATAACACATACATGGCAACATACACTACCATACACACACACAATGTATGAATGATGATTGGCATACAGATTTTTAGGAATTATATCTAAACCTATTATGGTAAATTCAACACCTAAAATACATACTGCTCCAAGCAATTACCTTCTACACTTCAATATTTCTTCAGTATAATAACTGAACTAGAAAGTATTCAATGATGAATTGTTTGTTAAGTCATTTACAATAAACGGTAAGTGAGCTGACTTGGACTGAACCCATACACGCTTCCAGTGAGTTATTCAGCAGCTCTTGTCAAACGCTATCTTTTATCAGTTTAGATCTAAACTTTTTGTAAATGTATGAATTAATATTTATTTTCCAATATCCTACAAAATTAATCTGTATATATCCATCTATCATTATTAATCAATTATTAACATAATTTGCACAGGATATGTAAAATATATGATTTGCAAGAGACTTCGAAGTCGATTGCAGTTTACAAAGGCTATCATAGATCATCGCTGTTTCTTAAGTATGCACCAGTATCTTCAATTCCTCGCATACACAAGGAATAATCTATATATCTATATCTATAAGTATGAGTGTAAATCACGGAGAAAATGAAAACGTGACGAACAATGTGACAATATCAGACCACGAAGGAAGGATTAAGACAGTAATTTCCTTAAGTACTTTCATATTTAACAATACATTTTCAGAAGGTATATATATATATATATATATATATATATATATATATATATATATATATATATATATATATATATATATATATATATATATATATATATAAAAGAGAGAGAATGGCTGTCTGTCCAAGGTTGTAGGCCAGATACTTGGGGTCATCTGCACCCATATTTGTCGAGGGGTTGATCTGGGCTTTAAAATTGCATATAGGTATATATCATAGTCCTATCATTATCAGTGTGCACAGTCTAGTCTTATTATTATCAGTGCACAGCCTAGTCTTATTATTATGAGTGCACAGCCATCATATTCTTTTTTTTTTTTTTACATGTGGCTGTACATGTCTGCGGAAGCAGCCTCCGTATTTAGGACTACTTTAGGGTAGTCCTAAATTAGTACCTGCAAGTAACAGGCTACCACAGTCCGCTAGGGCTACCATAGCACACTAAAAGCTAGCATAGTACACAAGGACTACCATAATACCCAAGTACTTCCATGGTTCACCGGGGGATACCGTAGTACACAAAGGTCACCATTGTCTATCAGAACTACCAAATATTTAATTTCGTTATTTACTTTTCTTCCCTCCCTCCTCTTCCTTACGACTTCCTACTTCTCCCTACTTCCCCTCTCCTTTCCTACCTTCTCGTTGACCTCACGTCTTAAAAAAAATTTAATTCTTCATTCTCACACGTTTTCTTCTCCACTTCTCTTAATATCTTCTTCCTCCCGCTTCTCAACTTACTCCAATATAGCCCTACTTCTCAAACCTCACCCTTCCTACCTCCTCTCAACTATACCCTTTCTCTCCTCTCAACCCCACCCATCTTTTCCCGCCGGCTGTGCTCACCCCCTTTCCTGTGGATGTGTTCACCTCCCTTCCCTGTGGACATGCTCACCCCCTTCCCTGTGGACGTGCTCACCCCCTTCCCTGTGGACGTGCTCACCCCCTTCCCTGTGGACGTGCTCACCCTCTTCCCTGTGGACGTGCTCACCCCCTTCCCTGTGGACGTGTTCACCTCCCTTTCCTGTGGACGTGCTCACCCCCTTCCCTATGGACGTGCTCACCCCCTTCCCTGTGGACGTGCTCACCCCCTTCCCTGTGGACGTGCTCACCCCCTTCCCTGTGGACGTGCTCACCCCCTTCCCTGTGGACGTGCTCACCCCCTTCCCTGTGGACGTGCTCACCCCCTTCCCTGTGGACGTGCTCACCTCCTAGCAGGGTGACAGAGACCTCTGGGACAGGTCACTCCAGGGGGGCAGTTCCCCTCACACATCTCCCCCACACTCATGGAGTGGTAGTATGAGGCTAGGAGCTGCTTCGCCATTTGTTCATCTTCATCCTCCAGCGTCACGTCTGGGTACTTGGCCTTCAGTCGACGTCGCTCCTGTAGGAGTGGGGGTCCTAGTTAGTGGTTTAGGAATCATGGTTAGTGGTATTGATATACTGGTTAGTGGTATGTGGATCAGGGTTTTTGGCATGGATGGTCCTAGTTAGCGGTATGGATGGTCCTAGTTAGTGGTACGGGGGTTCTGGTTAGTGGTATGTGGATCAGGGTTAGTGGTATGGATGGTCCTAGTTAGTGTGTGGGTCAGGGTCGATGGTATGGGGTGCTGGTTACTGGTGTCTTAGATCCATACTGAAACAAAGAGACTATTCGCCTCTGATCCCGGTGTCGGGTCTTTAATGCTCTCTCTCTCTCTCTCTCTCTCTCTCTCTCTCTCTCTCTCTCTCTCTCTCTCTCTCTCTCTCTCTCTCTCTCTCTCTCTCTCTCTCTCTCTCTCTCTCTCTCTCTCTCTCTCTCCAAAGTTGGCCTCTTCCCCTGACCCTCGTATCATTTGTTTAGTGGCCCCTAGATGCCACCCCTACGGGATATCTTCAGGACCTCCTGAGATACCACGATGCCCCTGAACTCTATCTAAGCCCTCCACAGCCTTCTGAGATTCCACAATGTCCCCTGAACCCTATCCGAGCTCTTCAGTGTTCAGTGCCTCCTTCACACAAACCTCCACCATCCTCTCGTTCTCGAAGTCCTGTAGCTGCTTGAGGAAGCCGACATTCGGGTTGGCCACGTTGCGAGCTCCTCTCACAGCCTTGAGAGCGTCTCTCCAGGTGAGTGACGTCACACACATCACATACACCACTGCTACGGTCACCGATCGAGACATCCCAGCCAGGCTGGTGGTCCAAATACCAAGCAAAACCTTTACTGGGGTACCTTTAACATATTACTGGTGGGATACATGCAAGTTATTGAGAATTAGATGTAGATTAGCAGAACACTGATATAGATTAGTGGGAATATGATATAGATTAATGGCTCACAAATATAGATTATTACGCTATTGGTATATATTATAGACTATTGGTATATATTATAGACTATTGGTATATATTATAGGCTATTGGTATATATTATAGGCTATTGGTATAGATTACTAAGCTATTGGTATAGATTAATAGTCTATAGGCAGACTTTAATATGATATTGATAGAGTAATTGGATATTGATATTGATTAATAGGCTATTGGTATGGATTATTAGATTATTGGTATAGATTAATAGATTATTGGAATAAATTAATATGATCTTATCATGGATTTATAGACTATTGATAAACAAAATAAGCTATTGGTAAAGATTTATATGCTATTGCTATAAATTAATGATCTATTGGCGGCCACTCGTCGACTCACTCCTGCACCATCACTGTAGGAAGGTGCATAATTGTTGTAACTTTTGTACAGCTGACGACAGTTTTGTCGGTACAGCTGACGACAGTTTTGTCGGTACAGCTGACGACAGTTTTGTCGGTACAGCTGACGACAGTTTTGTCGGTACAGCTGACGACAGTTTTGTCGGTACAGCTGACGACAGTTTTGTCGGTACAGCTGACGACAGTTTTGTCGGTACAGCTGACGACAGTTCGGTGTGTTGTGTTCTTACACCACTACACCACGACCCAGTATATGTGAAGGGTATTAAAACCAAATTTTGGAATGCAACCTAAATCCTTTCTGAAAGTGGTGTAAACAATGAACATTATTTACACCACCTTGATAAAGGATGTGGGTTGCATCTGAAAATTTGGTTTTAATACACTTACACATGTATTGGGTCTTTCCTTCACCTTCATTGTTTTTATTATTGATATATATCACGGTAGTGTGATTTGCTGTGTGTGTATCTGCCGTTGGAGCGTACGGTGCAGAACTACCTTACCCTTTGCCAGAATACTTGTGGGGGGAGAACATACGTAACACAAGGACTGGCTTCAGGAGGGCCTCCAGATTTCCTGTGATTTCACTAGAAATCCGGTTGTATGACTACTACAAAGTCACGATGGTACAGTGGTAAAGTAAGTGGCTGGCAGTGTCTCGGTCGTTGGGTCGCGTCGCCTCACAACCCCAGAGGATTTTCTCATATATATATATATATATATATATATAAAATATATATAATATATATATATATATATATATAATATCACGTTAGTGTGATTCTCTGTGAGTATTATTATTGTTATTATTACTATATTTGCATTAGTATTCTGTATTCAAATATCTGGATATTCGACATAAATTTAGGAACTCGACTGAATAAGTCCAGCTTCATTTCAGATTTCCGTGAAATGTTGGATTATTTCCTGTACGTTCAAAACACACATCCAGTTAGCAAACGCTGTGAGAGAACTCACCCTATTGGTTGATGCTCTACAGACCTCTCAACCTTGTTGTGTTGTTTTAGATTAGGCTACTCGGAACAAAAAGTACCAAGTAGCACAGGCTATGGTGAGCTCGTAGTTGACTTACCTGGCACAGGAGCGGGGGCTGTATGTGTGCTTTCACCTTATTGGTTGACGCTCGCCAGAGCTCTCACCCTATTGGTTGACGCTCGCCAGAGGTCTCACCCAGTTAGTCAACTGCTGGTCTGTACTCACCAGTGGATGAGGACTCCACCTCCCTTCAGCCTGGCGGTGTGGATGAAATCATTGCAGGTAGAGAAATACTGCATCAAGTTCTGACCTGGGGAGTCGGACGCCATAATACACAGGTACTCCTTGTCCTGTAAATATGTAACACGAACATCATACCAGTTTTAGATATTTAAAAAGTGGGAACAACTTCTAAGGGAACATGTTCAAAGTAAACAGATTGTAAAGGGTCTAGAGGGAATAGGCTCTATCGACACGTTTTAAGAAACAGGATAATTTCCTTTCAACAACCTTGTTACAGGTATGAAATGTGCGTTATAAAATTACATGTTATATAACGCATGGAGGGACCAGACTGTGTTGTTTGTTGACATTTGAAAATATGCGGTAATTAAGATGTTTCCACCACATTGGCTTTTTTTGTATATGGACACAGGTTCAACAGGTGTGAACTACGCGATTGACGTCCACAAGGAGATGCAGTTCACTGTTCCTTGATGTCGGCGTCCTAGAACACAATGACATCAGATGTTCATTAACACTGTCCAAAATGGTCAACCATTTAATTATTTCCGGACATAACGCAAACTAATTTATTAGATTGTTATTATCAGTCGACCTGCCAAGCTTTATACTCCCGACGTGTTTCCCCCCATCAAGCTTATGGCCCCCCCCCCAAGTCTCCATCAAGCGTTCCCGCGACAAGCCTTCAGTCATCTACTGTTAGCCTCTTCAATTTTTTTTTACCGTGCTATTCATTCCTCTCCCCCGCCAAGCTCTCCTAATGTTTCATTTGCCTCAGTCCCTCGACTCACCTCATTAAATCCTAAGTCGAGCTTAATACGTCAATAAATCCTAAGTCGAGCCTAATACGTCAATAAATCCTACGCCGAGCCTAATACGTCAATAAATCCTACGCCGAGCCTAATACGTCAATAAATCCTACGCCGAGCCTAATACGTCAATAAATCACACAGCAAACGAAATGCATAAAAAATCCTGTGCCAAGCCAAATATGTAAATATCCCACGTCAAGCTTAATACGTCTATAAATCACACGTTAATCGTAATACGTGAATAAATCTCACGTCAAGCCTAATATATAAATAAATCTAATGTCAAACTAAATATTTAAAAATTCCACGTCAAGCCTAATACGTAAATAAATCTCATGTCAAACTTCGCACTAAAATATTTCACTGCAGAACGGCATGATTATACCTCGTTTAAGTATAATAATGGTATTATTATTAAGTATTGGTAACTACAAACATACAAATTAATTGAATATTTGTAAAAGACGTTTAAGAAATATAAAATTGATAATTATATCTAAAAACGGCAGTTTTTAGCAAGCGTACATATATATAGTTATTAATGGTGCCAATAAAATGAGGACACAGGTGGACATGTAGGACGAAGAAAGGTGAGTAAAATTGTTTATATAAAGTTAATTAGGTAGTTTTTTTATTCAACAATTTAGGACTCTTGATTAGCAGAATATTTATGCTGGAGTTAAGTCGCTCTTTTAGCATCAAAAAGATGTTTGTTTCTCGTGTGGTGACCATGTTACAGCCCGCTAGAAAACGCTTAAGGTCAGGGCTAGCACTACGGTTTAGAGTTTTATAAATGTAGAATACGCTTGAGAGGATGTGCAGTGACGTAACATTTAACATTCGAAGGTTTCAAAAAGGGTGTTGATTGCTGTCCGGGACGACTGTGTTATTATTCTAACTCATGATTGTGACGAGTAATTAATGGTCGAAGGCAATTTTGGATTGAAGTTCCATAGGTGAGATATGGATATATGAGCGAATAATAGTGTTACCAATACAGAGCGAGGTACGTACTATCTGATGAGAGAATACCTACTATTTTAGAAACCTTTTTGTTATATTTTGAATTTGCCAATGGAAATTCAGCTTGTTATCAGTGTCAACACAAAGGAATATTTGAATATTTCATCTACTCTGTTCTTAATTTGGGTTCTTTATCTTGTTTCCGTGATGGTCACTCCCTCCAGCGCACCCTTCAACAACCCTCCACCCATCACCTCAACCAACCACACTCCTCACAATCCAAGCAACTAAACCCTCATTAACCTCTCGCCAACCACTCTCCGACCCACCCCATCAAGCACCCTCCTTTCACCCTCCCCCACCAACCATCCCCATACACTACTCACGGAGTTGCAGGGAAGTTTCCTGGGGTTGTCGTGGATGGAGAGGATGTGAGTGATGTTATGGGTCTTGAGCTGCTCCGGGTCCTTGCTGTCCCGGAAGTTGCCCACGTAGAGCCCCGGCAGCACCTGGTTAGTGGAGGAGAACCTGGTTAGTGGAGGAGTGCCTGGTTAGTGGAGAAGTGCCTGGTTAGTGGAGGAGTGCCTGGTTAGTGGAGGAGAACCTGGTTAGTGGAGGAGTGCCTGGTTAGTGGAAAAGTGCCTGGTTAGTGGAGGAGAACCTGGTTAGTGGAGGAGTGCCTGGTTAGTGGAGGAGAACCTGGTTAGTGGAGGAGAACCTGGTTAGTGGAGGAGAACCTGGTTAGTGGAGGAGTGCCTGGTTAGTGGAAAAGTGCCTGGTTAGTGGAGGAGAACCTGGTTAGTGGAGGAGTGCCTGGTTAGTGGAGAAGTGCCTGGTTAGTGGAGGAGAACCTGGTTAGTGGAGGAGTGCCTGGTTAGTGGAGAAGTGCCTGGTTAGTGGAGGAGAACCTGGTTAGTGGAGGAGAACCTGGTTAGTGGAGGAGTGCCTGGTTAGTGGAGAAGTGCCTGGTTAGTGGAGGAGAACCTGGTTAGTGGAGGAGAACCTGGTTAGTGGAGGAGAACCTGGTTAGTGGAGGAGTGCCTGGTTAGTGGAGGAGTGCCTGGTTAGTGGAGGAGTGCCTGGTTAGTGGAGGAGTGCCTGGTTAGTGGAGAAGTGCCTGGTTAGTGGAGGAGTGCCTGGTTAGTGGAGGAGAACCTGGTTAGTGGAGGAGGACCTGGTTAGTGGAGGAGAACCTGGTTAGTGGAGGAGAACCTGGTTAGTGGAGGAGAACCTGGTTAGTGGAGGAGAACCTGGTTAGTGGAGGAGAACCTGGTTAGTGGAGGAGTGCCTGGTTAGTGGAAAAGTGCCTGGTTAGTGGAGGAGAACCTGGTTAGTGGAGGAGTGCCTGGTTAGTGGAGAAGTGCCTGGTTAGTGGAGGAGAACCTGGTTAGTGGAGGAGTGCCTGGTTAGTGGAGAAATGCCTGGTTAGTGGAGGAGAACCTGGTTAGTGGAGGAGAACCTGGTTAGTGGAGGAGTGCCTGGTTAGTGGAGAAGTGCCTGGTTAGTGGAGGAGAACCTGGTTAGTGGAGGAGAACCTGGTTAGTGGAGGAGAACCTGGTTAGTGGAGGAGTGCCTGGTTAGTGGAGGAGTGCCTGGTTAGTGGAGGAGTGCCTGGTTAGTGGAGGAGTGCCTGGTTAGTGGAGAAGTGCCTGGTTAGTGGAGGAGTGCCTGGTTAGTGGAGGAGAACCTGGTTAGTGGAGGAGGACCTGGTTAGTGGAGGAGAACCTGGTTAGTGGAGGAGGACCTGGTTAGTGGAGGTAAATCTGTTTAGTGGAAGACTGCCTGGTTAGTTGAGGAGTGGCTGGTTAGTGGAGGAGAACTTGTTTAGTGGAGGAGTGCCTGGTTAGTGGAGTAGTGCCTGGTTAGTGGAGGAGTGCTTGGTTAGTGGAGGTGAACCTGGTTAGCGGAGGAGTGCCTGGCTGTTAAAGTCTCCCAGGAGACCTCTAACACAGATGAAAAAATATAACTGACAGACAGATGAGGGCGGCAATCAGAGACATTGTATCTGACTGGAGGAGTGTTACTAGCGAACAACAACAATAATTATATAAGCGAACTAATTCAAAAGATATAAACCCCAAAATGCCGCAATGCGGTCCAAGGGAGGGAGGGAGGGAGGGGTGGGTGGTCATGCATAGTGGGGGAGGGTGGGATGGGTTGTTATATCGGGTGGGGGAGGGACCATGCAGGCTGGGTAAGTATGGGGAGGGTAGTGGAGGGCGAGGGAGGGGTCATGCAGGCTGGGTAAGTATGGGGAGGGTAGTGGAGGGCGAGGGAGGGGTCATGCAGGCTGGGTAAGTATGGGGAGGGAAGTGGAGGGCGAGGGAGGGGTCATGCAGGCTGGGTAAGTATGGGGAGGGTAGTGGAGGGCGAGGGAGGGGAAAAAAGGGGAGAGGTAAGAGAGGGGGAGGGGAAGAAAAGGGAACAATGCGGAGAGGGAAAAGGAAAAGGGAGATGATGGTAAAGGAGGGAAGAAGGGGACAGGGGTGAGGGAGAAGGGAATTGTGGAGAATAAAGAGAGGTGGGCAAGACATAGGGTTGAATTTGGGTGATGGGGAAGACTATGCCAGGCACCGCCCGGTACCCCTTCTTGTATTATATGTCCAATAAAAATTACCAAAATCAATGATATCCGGGCTACAAAATATTGATGGGAAATTTATATATCCTCAATAGCGCCTGGAAACCATATTGTCTCATCCCCAGGCGAGGGAAATAAATATATATAAAAATTGTAAACACGTTGATATTTGCAAAAAAAAATATGGCTGCGCTTGGCAACCGGTAATCGCAATTTTGTAAGAAATTGACTAATCCGTTGAAAATGCGACGTATTAGTAAATATTAAAGCACCAAACTACTGTACTGACTTCCATTCATCTACCTCATGTGTTAGACGGTTTGCTTTGACTCGTATGTTTTTAGGCAAAACAATTGCATTCTTTATGGAGTAACAAAGCGATAATACAGGCTGAATAGTCAGCATGCAAACATATTTGAAATTTGTAAACAAATCACCAGTCGGTTTATCAGTATGATAAAATAATGCACCAAGATATATAATATAAACCAGAAAATATCCATTCTTATCAAAATGCTAAAACAATTTAACTGGAAGAAACTTCTTTTCAGTGCGGTGGTGCCGGCTTTCCACATTTCTTTTAGCTAATTCTTCTTAAAACAGTAGTATATGGAAACATAAGGAGCACCCTTGATATAGCCTAGTAATATGAGCATATATTACCCGACACTACACACTTGTCAACAATGGAGTCGACGACATGAAGATTTGGGCGCTAAGTGATCAGTGACGCCAGACACTGCGTGGGGGGTAGACGCGCGGCCTGACGCTCTACATTAATTGTGGTTCTACACGCACATGATTATAACATTATCATAAATAGTGTTCAGAAACATGTTGAGAGATACATAACAATGGGATAACGAACTAAGAGTGCGAACAGGTAACGGCCTTCATGCTCTGAGTGTGTCTGCTGACCAGCAATAACAGGTGAGTGGACCATTTCTGAAGATGGTTGTTACAGTCGAGGATAAGTATGCCTTAACACCCCCCCCCCCTTCCCTCTCTTCCCCCAGTTTATTGTAGAGTACAGACTGGCCGCCGCGTTTGTTGTAGTGTTGGGTTAGGTTATGGATGAACAGACAGGCGCTGTGTAACGAAGTCTCTCATTGGTCAGAACACCACACACCGGTTTATATAATTCACAATATTAAGGAATATAGAGTAAAGCGGTGGATATAAATGAATACATGTACATTAGTGAACAAGGGAGATGGCTTTACTTTTGTGCTTAAGCGTTTATTGACCTTTTATGTAAACAATATAACGTATCGTTTACGCATTAGCATTTGGCTGGTAAGGCAGAGACGACATGACGTCACACACATAACGCTACTTCAGACGGCCAACGACAGTTGAACAACAGTTTAGCAACAACAGAGTTTAGTTCATTTATTATGCACCCCATACCCTTCCTGTGGGCGGTAGTGGAAAGGGTTACAGAGGCACATAATGCGCTCGGGGACTGAACCTCAAAATTCATTTAGCTAAGTAAGTTACAGTCTTGGTGAGCTAGTTACAAAATTCAATGCACATCGTTACATCAACAATGGGCTCGAGACCGACCACAAGTAATCTGTAAATTAAACAATTGACACGTGTGGAGAGCTAGTGTCACAGTGGATATGTTTATCCTGCACACCGCACCTTAACCATTGGGCAAGGGTGGAAACGTTACATTCACCGAGTTACTACCTACAGTTAGCAAACTTGGGATATTTGGCTAAAATTCCTGGTAGCAGATAATTTTGAATGAAACACATTTCATGAACATTTGTTATAGAATTGTCTCTGAATTCACATATCTTTTCGCACTCCATGACATAGTGACGAAGTGTGTGCGAATAATTTAGTTGACAGTTTACATTTGGTCAGGTCAACATCAGATAATGAAAAGCCCCAGAGATACTTAAAGCAGTGTAAGCCGAGCAGTAGTAACATCTAGGAGCCTACTGATTTTTATTGAATGGTCCACAAATGTTTGGCTCTTCTTGCATGATGCTATAATGATAGAACTGCTAGTGTACATTTCACTTTGCCTCGGATCTAAAAGGTTGTGTTAAGTTCTTGGTGCATTATTGCCCTCAGACAATCCGAGGTTATACTCGGTTCCTTCTTTAAAGGCAGATTCTTTGGCTCAACGACACACAAAACGAACTCTCAAACCGCTTTTTTTTTTGTTAAGTTAAAAGTTGTTTGCTAAAATTTACATTTGAGATTATGGTTAAAATACTGTATACGAATAATGGTATCATCAATATCAGAAATAGACAAAATAAGAAAGTAATATAATATCACTTAAATTTGCTGATAACTGGAAGACAAAGTGTAATAAATAGGGACTATGTGACTTGTGTATTTGATTCCCGAGAATAATGGATTGTTCTCGGGAAATTTTATAATTGAATTATTAATAATTTAATAATATGAAATTTTAATAGAAAATTTAATAATTATTAAATTAATTAGATAATTAAACTACATAATAATATGTATAGTTCACAAAATAATTACGCGAGACATAGAGAGAGACAGTGACACAGACACAGACCTATGCTACAAATATGGCAGACATGTGAAATGTCCGATCATATTACGCGTGTAATTCATTGTCATTTAATGATTAGACTACTCGGCATGGACTCTGTGATTATATATGTTATTTGACAAACTAGTGCTTCTTAAATCAAGCCAGTTTCCTACAATGGGTGTTTTTACCATCAAACTATAGCAGAACGTGACATCACGCGAGGGAAAGATTGCGGGCCCCTCACTCTCCCGGGCAGACCAATCCACAATTCAACTCTTAAGAGTGCAGACTCTTTATCAAGGATGAACTCTAGGGACGAAAGGGTATGTCAACGAGAGGCAATAGTTGCTTTAAAAGCGAGAGGCATGTCAATCGTCGCCATCGCTAGAGAACTTTGA